GGAGGGGCTGGATTCGGGACGCCTGGGGCAGAGCAGCTGGGGTGCTGCCGGGTTGGTCCAGTAGCGCCCAGAGCGGCGCTACAGGACCAACCGGCAGCGCCCCAGCTGCTGTACCACAGGCGTCCGGAGCAAAGCCGCGGAGCAGGGGGGCAGCGGGACAGCCCAGACGCGCCGTGGCTGTCCTGCTGCCCTCGGGCTCCGCGGCTTTGCTCTGCTTTGCTCCCCCGTCTCCCTGGTCGGCAGCTTTGCTCTGCTTTGTCTGGGCTGTCCGCTGCCCGCGTGTTCCGCCACTTTGCTCCCCGTCCCCCTGGTCTGCAGACCAGGGAGACGGGGAGCAAAGCAAAGCCAGTGCGCGTCTGGGCTGTCTGCTGCCCGCGTGCTCCGCCGCTTTGCTTCCTCTCCCTGGTCTGCTGGAGACCAGGGAGACGGGCCCCGTTCGTAACTGCGGATCCGACATAAGTCGGATCCGCGTAACTCGGGGACTGCCTGTACTTATGATATCAATGATTCTTGCCAATGGTTGCGCCTTCCCACAACAAGCTAGCTAGTAAAGAAAAAAAGCATTAAACTAGTGTAAAAAAAAATACAGATGCAGATTCTACATTGATGCAAAATCAGTATAGCAACACACACACACACACATAAAATCAGTATAGCATCACACACACACACACATATATAGGAAGAAGGAGTTTGCCTAAACTGAAATACAAGGACAGGTTTAATACTATAGTTCAAGTGATACCCATCAAATCTATGTAGACTATTAGAAGGTCACCATCACCCTTGTATTAGAATATAAATATTAAGACCTTATAATAAATCATTTTATGACCTTCATTTATGACCTTCTAGATCACACATTATTATGGTGGCTAGGTATCAAATCTAGGGGAATTCTTATTTCCAATGCTACAGGCGATCACCTTTAACTCTGAATGAGATAAGATACCTCCATGGCACATTTCAAAAGACAGTTGATGCATTTGTGTTTTACAGGCAGGGAAACTGAGGAAGGGAGCTGCTGTCCCTTGTCCAAGGTCATTAAATGAGTTTGCAGCACAGACTGGACAAGAGCTCAGGTCTGCTGAGTGCATGATTGTGTCCTATGCACCTAGCTGCACAGTTCCCTATGTACATTCTAGAAATCTTCTGTTTTGAATAATAATTGTTATATGTGCTATATTGTAATAAAACGAACACAACACCTTCCTGAGTAGAAATGGGATGAACAATCTCTTTAAAGAAACAGTCTATGAATTCAAGAAAAAGCCATTACCTGTGTCTTCAGACTCATCATCATCATCTTCATCATCACCTGATGATGGAGAATCTTGGAAGAGAAGAAAAAAAAGTCACTTGTTATGCTGCTACTATCAGCAACACTATTTCAGTTTTCCATTTTCTTGATCCCACTACCAAAAACAGTAGATCAAACTCAACCATTTTCTCACACCACTATGGAGCAGACTCTCAGGAGGCAGCCTCCTCCATGTGCGAAACGCTGCCCCTTTGTGTCCCCCCCACTCCCCCACTCTCCACAACTGCATGTTTGGGCACAAGTGAGAGGAGTTTCACATTTGTCCAAAAAGGGATCTATCACTTCTGCGTAATGGAGACTGATGGACAAATCCCATAGCTGTGTGCATGCCAAAACGGAGTAGCTGACTGAACACTAGGCCCTGTGTGTCTCACAAACTGCAGGGTCTATTTGTGAGGATTCTTTTTATTATTTTTTTTGCAGAACCTAAGATTTCATCCAAGAGAATAAAAGGAGGAGCTCCTCCTTTTCACTACTATAGCCTTTCCCATGCAGAAGGATCCAAGCAGGAGAAGCGTGAATTGTTTCTCTCAATCTTGTGAAGCCCTGAGCTTGCAAAGACTTACTGGCCTGCTTAATATTACTGAAACAAATAGTCTTGCTGATGTCATATTGCTATGGGTGTATTGAATGGTGCATTAAATTAAACATGTGTGTTAAGTCTGTGAAGGCTTAAGATGACCACAGGTTGAACATCTCTAGTCTGGTACCCTCAGGGCTTGACTAGTACCATAACAGGAGATCTGTATTGTCTAACAGCATTACCAACACTTCTGCTGCTTACTGGGCTCTTAGAAAAGATTTAGGATAAATTAGAGCTAAATGACAACACAGAACACTGAGAGCCAGGATTAGTGGCTGTAAACAAACTTTATGGGACCACAGAAAACTTGGCCACAACCATGATAAATGGTCATCTGGCTAATTAAAATCATGCCAAATCATGGATATTGCCGGACCAGAGAGTGCCAGACTTGAGAAGCTCAGCCTGTAGTGAACTAGTGTAATGATGAAACCAGAAGAGTCACTCAATTACATTTTATTTCCTTTCCATTTCGCACATTTTTCCTGACACGTTTTTCTCCAGAGAAGGTATTTCCAGTAACGTTCTTGGGATCTGGGAACTGAGTATTACAAAGGGGAAGATACCTCAGATAGAAAGATACAGAACCCTGCCATGTTACTCTGAGACACAACTGCAACATGGTGCATTCATTAACAGCCAGGAGAGATGGGACAGGTCTACACTATAAATTTACATCAGCACAGCTGCACCACTATCGCATATTAGGTAAACAGGTCTCAGAGGGGCAGTTGTGTTCATCTGTATCCGTAATCATGGAGCCCTACGGTACTTTAACAGATTTTTTACCCACAAAAGCTTGCGCCCAAATAATGCTGTTAGTCTTTAAGATGCCAGGACTCCTCATTATTTTTGTGTTTGGTAAAGGCACTTTAAGTTTGATAGGAGCTCTCCTGTTGGCTTAGTAAAGCTCACCTCTGCCTTAGCTCACCTCTGCAAAAGGGATAACTATATTGGCAGGAGAAGCTTTCCTGCCAGTTTAACACCAACATTCGGGTGTGGATTTTTCATACATGCAGATCCAGCCTAGAAAACCAAGGACTTCGCGCACGTCCAACTCTACCCGCCAATGGAGCTGTTAGTGCTTTCATCTCAGAAGAGACTTGGCACACACATTTGCAACGGCCAGGATATGATGCTCAAAGAGGCACGAGCAGTGGAACAGCAATACTGGGTGGGAGCAGTTATTTTACATGTTATTCTGTGGTACTCTGTAGATACACAGGGAGGTGGGACTTGAGGACAATCTATACGGATGCACCTCCCTCCCAGAAGGGGGACGTGGCAGTCTTTTGTAGTTACTACAGCTGAGCAGATTTCTCAACGGAAAAATTCCGTGGCACCGAATGGTGCATGCTCCCTGGTTCTGCCACTCCGCGCTACAAAGCTCTGACCATTCAAAGGGGCTCTGAAGTATCTAGGTGTCAGGTCTGATCAGAGACACCATGTTGAATGCAGATGGCACTAGGTGGGCTCTGCTCTGCTATACCAGTATTTGAAGAAGCGGGATCAAATAGAAGACCAAAATCTGGGGCATCCTGTAATGGAGCACTTTGCAAGCATGAGGCCCAACAAGACATTTATTTCCTCACTCCCCCAGCCACACAGTTGGCTAACACTGGGTCCCAACCAACAGGCCACTACACAACATCCAATAATGCCACCATCAGATATTTCAGATGGTAAACTCCCCATAATAATGGGCTAATCCGCCTGAAGGGGCCGCTTATTTGATATATAAAGTATTTCCTTTTGCCAGCTGAAAATCTGCTCTTTTCATTTCATTAGCTCTCAAAGGAATAATGGGAGAACTTAGTTTGTCGACTCTAGACCAGGGCTACTCAACTTTGGAAGCCCCAGGGGCCACAAAGATACTCACAGCACGTGAAGTGGGCTGCAACTTAAGTGTGGTTGTATATACATTCAAATATATATGCAAATAGCTTCTTTCACAGTGACGGGCATGAATACAAAGGACTTCCCACAATGCTCCCGGTACCTCCTCCCTGGGGGCTAGAATGCTCACGCTACCTGGGAGACACCTCACCATTGTGGAGCGTGTTCCCACTGGAGGCCATATTCAAAGGATCCCACCTGTAGGTTGGGTGTTGAGCCCTGCATACATACAAACCGCACCGCGGGCCGCAAATAAATGGTTTTGCTCTAGACGTGTTGAGTAGCCTTGTTCTAGTCTAGACTATATATTAAATTAATACCCCACTGTCATGTCATTTCTTTTTAGCTCCGCTTTAAGCTACTCAAACCCAATCTTTCCAATTCTCTCCTCATACCCAAGGCTCTCTAGTAGGGATGTAAAATCTCATCTAATTAGTTAACTGATTAACTGTCAAGTTTAACCAGTTAACCGATTAAATGTGGGTGGGCGGGAGGGCTTCTAGGCTGGTTAACCATCACATTCCTACTCTCTGGGCTCTTTCACTACCCTTCTCTGGATCTCTTCTTTTTTGGTTATATCCTTTCTGCAGTGGGATACATTCTTTTTGAGACCAAAACAGCATGTGCCAGGTGAGACCATATCACTAATAAGTAATGGCTTTATGATATGTTCTGTATCTACCTGCATCATTTAACAGCATGTTTGCATTTATTGTGCTGTATACAAGGTTGTTTGTTCTTTTCATCTGAATGACTACTGTTAGTTTTAGAACCATCCACCTGTAAAACAGTGCCCCGAAGCCTGCTTGTAACATTTTGCATTATTCATTGCCTCTTCAAATAATCACCAGTAAACATAAAAAAGGCATAATATTATGCAGCGACTTTTACAATTTTTAGACTGTAGGAAATTCTATGAATGCTCAACATGTGACCAGAAATGTAATGCATCCAGTTTAGCCAAGTCAAGCATAAAATAAGTTTTTGTAATTTTTATTTTATATAATCTTCTATCCAGCTGACTGATAACTAATAAGCTAATAAAGGTATCACAGTTCTCCAGAGTCTGTAGAACTCTGCAGAATATTCACTGTGTAGGAATACATGACTTACCATATTGCATTAGATTACTGGGGCACCATATGTAGCATCCTGACTTTGGCCAAGAATCATTTAAGTATGTGCACAACTTTCGCATGTGTTAAATCACAGGACTTAAGTCCCACTAAAATCCCATGGGATTTGTGAAAGTTGTGTGTCTAATAAAGCACGTGCAAGTACTCTGCTGAACTGGGAACTTTTGACAGTATCTGCTACAGGAAGGCAAAAACTGCTGCACAAGGGAGAGAAAAGGGGTAAAATCCTTCCTGCCCTCGCATCTTGAAAGCATGAGGTTTGGCAACTCTTATTTTGTCATGATGATTATAACGATATTTATATGAATTAAAATGCACCAGTCCCAACTGTATGGTAGCAACACATTCTTAAATACTGCAGATGGCGTTTTCTTTTCCCTATCAAGGAAGGTGAGATCACTGACAAACAACCAGTCCGTCTCATCTTACTCAAAATGATGAGTCTGTTGAGAAGGACTAGAATCCAAGATTTTAAAAAATGGTTGTCTACAGTGAAGAAACTAAGTTCATATTCACATACCTAAAGAAGTGGGCTGACATCCGACTGAAACTTTCAATTCAGAGGGAACTGCTAAGCATATGCTACTTAAAAAGAAAAAATCAGGTCACATGTGCAGAGGCTTAAATATGACCACAGGACCTTAGCATTAGGCACTTGTTTTTTAAAATGCTGACCTGGATTTTCAAAAGGTGTTTTCTCACAGTAGCGAAATGCAGCAAGTGTTAGTAACATGGGACCTTTCCTGCCATAACTTCACACACCAATCAGCTGTAAGGGAGGATCTGTGCATGGAAGGACTGAACTGACATGCATGCTAGTCAAGATCAGTCATGAAGGTTTCTCTTTTTTGGGGAGAGGGATGTAAGTGTTAATGTTTGTAGTTGGGAAATGGTGCAGTGCTGATTCTCACCCACACCCAGGCTGTGTCTACATTGGCACGATCTTGCGCCAAAGCAGCTGCTTTTGCGCAAAAACATGCTACCTGTCTTCACTGGTGGGGAATTCTTGCGCAAGAACACTGACGTTCTAATGTGTGAAACCAGTGCTTCTTGCGCAAGAACTATGACGCTCCCGCTCAGGAATAAGTCCTCTTGCGCAACTGTTCTTGCACAAAAGGCCAGTGTAGACATGCAACATGAATTTCTTGCGCAAGAAAGCCCGATGGCTACAATGGCCATCAGAGCTTTCTTGCGCAAGAGAGCGTCTACACTGGCATGTGCCTTTGCGCAAGAGATGTGCTTTTGCGCAAGAGCGTCCGTGCCAGTGTAGACGCTCTCTTGCGCAAGAAAGCTCTGATGGCCATTGTAGCCATCGGGCTTTCTTGCGCAAGAAATTCATGTTCAGAGTCCTGTGTTTTAAAGACAAAGCTTAAGAAGGTGCTAAGTCTATTCATACATCAGTCTATTATTTAATTAACCTTTATTTTACAAGGCAATAATGTTGAGCCTGACTTCCAAATCAAAATGTTAATGAAAAAGGTGATTCATTTACTGCTTATGATGGAGGGTGTATACCTCACACAGGCCCTGGGTTAATTTGGACCTGAGAGGCTAATTATGTTATCTGACTGCATTGGAGGGAAAAGTAGGCTTAGCTGCCCAGGAAGACCAGCTGCCCAGGACCAAGCTGTTTAATATAAAGCAAGGGTGGAAATATCAGTGGGGGAGGGGGCACACAAGTGATAAGTAAAGTGAGAAGCACCTGACTGGGAGAAAGACACTCCCCACATTCTCCTTGCACACCGGAAGAGGGGGCAGGCTAGTAGATTGTCTGCTTCCAGCCCTATGGGTGAGTGGCAGCGATGCTGGAGTGCCAGCACACGTGCCCCAATGTGGAGCCTCAGGAGCTGGATGCAGGCAAGCCAGGGGCTGGAGGCTCCCCATCCCTAGTATAAAGTCAGGAGGTCAAGAGCAGCGGAGAGCTATAAGGAGAGTGTGCATAGTCGCTCTCTCTAGGAATAGAGGAAGGGAGGAAGAGGGAGGAGCATAAACCCTGGGATCCTAGCCCTGCAAGAAGGGTCAACCAAGAAGGGAAGTTATGGGGAAGAAAGGCTGAGAGAGAGGCTGGATAGGAAGAGGCCCAGGGAATCAGCAACAAAAGGAACTATGCAAAGCATACATTAACATAGTCATCTGGCCCTCCTGCATTAATCTAATGAGGGCCTGGAAAGATCATTAAGAGGGAAGCTCTCTCAGAGACACTAGGTACCATGTATTAAACGGAGATTTTTGATATGCAAGTCTACAGATTCAAAGGACTTGTTTTTGCTCAATAACAGAGAAAACACTGGTTTGTTACTACCACTACCAGTATAACTCAGTCACTCTGGCACAGAATCGTACGGAACAAGTATTTAAATACCTAAGGAATGCTAACTAACCACTGGTGTTACTTTTAAAATGCAGGAATGTAAACCCCACTCTCTCAGATTACAATCTCACTTGGAGTTGAACACTAAGCAATCAGTAATAATTATGAAGAAACATAAGCGAATATAACAGGCGCCACTACGGCCACCCAATGTAAAGGCTTCAAAGTTTAATACAAACATGGCTGACAGCTCAAGCTGAAACTCCCGCATTAGCAGCACTTTGAATGTAATGACACTGAGCTAACAGAATCAAAGATGCATAATGCTGGCAGAACGGTGGGTCAGGTTACTCACTTGCTCTCAAGCTGTTATAAGCTATTATTAGCCAAGAAGAAAAACACAGGGGCTTAAAC